GGTGGTCCGGCGTGTCTCGCCTGAGACATCCTCGCAACTCTGATCTCTGCCGTGCGCAAGGTGGTCTGGCCCGTTTCGCACAAGACATTCTCGCAACTCTGAGCTCCCAGATGCCGCGCAAGAGGTGGTCCAGCCTGTGGGCCCAGAAGACCGCATGTTACATATCCCCCCTGGGACCCTAGGAGCCCCAGGAGGCCCCAGAGAGCTTCAGGAGGCCGCAGGACGCCCATGGGCGTCCTGCAGGACAGGCCCCAGGGGTCCCCAGGGGTCCCCAGGAGATTCCCAGGAGGCTCCCAGGAGGCCCCAGGAGGCCCCCTATCAGAACGTGTCAAGTTAATACACATCCGGTGTCGATCATTTTGGTGGGCCCAGACGGCCACATGTTAGATATCCCCCCCTGGGAGCCCCAAGAGGCTTCAGAAAGCCCAAGGTGGGGCCCAGGAGGCCACAGGAGGCCCAGGAGGAAGCCCCAGGAGGTCCCAGGAGGCTTCAAGAGGCCCCCGCAATTCGGAGCTCTGAGACGCCGCGCTCGAGGTGGTCCGGCCCGTTTCGCCTGAGACTTCCTCGCAGCACGTTTCGCCCGAGACATCGTCGCAACTCTGGGGTCCGAGATGCCGTGCGCGAGGTGGTCCAGCCCGTTACGCTGGAGACATCCTCGCAAGTTTGGGCTCCGAGATGCCGTTCGGGATGAAGAGGAGGTGGATGAGGAGGAGGGGGAGGAGGAGAAGGAGGAGGAGATGGAAGGGAGAAGGAGGAGGAGGATGATGTGGATGAGGGAGCAGGCAGGAGGAGGAAAGAGGAGGAGGAGGGAGAAGGAAGGGAATTGCAGGAGAGGACCTAATGGGAAGCGAGTGTGACGTGGACTTGTCAGAACGTGTGCGAGAGGTTGTCCGTCCCGTTTCGTTTCAGGCATCTTTCCAATACTGAAAACTCCAGGATGCTCGCGAGGTGGTCTGGCCCGTTTCGATTGAGCCATCCTCACAATGCGAAGCTCGAAGATGTTGCGCGCGAGATGGTCTGGCCCGTTCTGCCTGAGACGTTTCGTAGCACACGGGCTCCAATCACAACCTTTCTCATTCCTTCTCCGCCTCCCTCTCTTCCCGCTTCCCACCTGGCTCCTCTTCCCTCCTCCCTCATCCCGCCTCCCGCTGCTGCGCCTTTGGCCGCACTGAACGGGCACGCAATCGACCTTGGAAACCGCAGTGGGTTTAAATACCCTGTTTGGGGATACTGCACTCCGGATACAATTTTCATTATCGCACAAAGAAACCAAACAAAACATCGTAGTTCAAAGTTGGCCAACGTGGGCCCCACGGTGGTTTCTTGCAGTTTATGCGGTGCAGTCTAGGTGGTGCCATCCATGTGGTGCAGCCTAGGTGGTGCAGTCCATGCGTTGTGAGCTATTTGATGCAGTCTTCGGGGCTTGCTAGAGGTACCCATGGCACAACGTGCCCCCAGCCTTTCGTTCAATCGTGGAGACCCTGCAGCCCTCTAGGCCTCGCGAGGGATGCTTTGGAGGCCGTGGAGGCCTCCTGGAAATCGGGGGGCACCTTGGGCCAGGGGGGCTTCAACACGCGAAAACTGCGCGGTGCAATGTATGTGGTGAAATCAGTCACTTGCTCAACTTGAAGCTGTCCTCTCCACTGCTCGTGCAAGTATCCCACCCTCCCATCCGCAACTTGGTCGCAAGACCTCTAACGACCGTGACGGTAGGTACCAAGTGGCACTTGGCAACGACACCGACACCGACGACGACAGCGACAACAACGACGACGACGACGCCGCCGACATCGACTACGACGACACCGACGACGTCTCCAACGACTTCGACGCCAACGACGACGACGACGACGACACCGACGACGACGACGACGACGATGACAACGCCGACGACGACGACGACGACGACGATGACAACGCCGACGACGACGACGACGCCGACGACGACGACGATGACGACGACGACGACGACGACGACGACGCCGACGCCGACGACGACGACCAAGACGACGACGACGACGTCGAAAACGAAGACGACGACGACGAGGCAGGAGGGAGGACGACGACGGCGACAACGATGACAACGACGAGGGAGGAGGGAGGACGGCGACGACGCGAACGACGAAGAAGGAGGGAGGACGGCGACGCCGACGACGACAACGACGAGGAAGGAGGGAAGACGACGACGACGACGACGACGAGGACGACGACGACGACGACGACGACGACGACGACTACGGCGACGAAATAGGAGGGACGACGACGAGACGCGAGACGCCGACGACGGACGACGGTGACGACGAGGGAGGAGGAGGACGACCACGGCGACAACGACGACGGAAACGACGACGACGACGCCAAAGAGGACGACGACGACGACGACGACGACGACGAGGAAAGACGGAGGACGACGACGACGACGACGACGACGACGAGGCAGGAGGGAGGACGGCGACGACGACGACGCAAGAGCGGGCGCGCACGTTTTTTGTTTTGACAATCCGTGTTGCGAAACCCTGTGTTTTTGTATGTTTTTGGGACACTCGATTTTGAAATCCTTCCGACACCGCAGGTTTTTGAAGGATTTCGGCATGCGTGCGCGACGACGCGCGCGCGTGCACTTCGTCACATGTTTTGTAGGGAATTCTCGCGACGGCACGCGCGCAAGGGCGTTCGAAAGAATTCGACATGCGCGCGCGCGAAGCCCGGCCCGTTTGGTAGTATTTGTTTGAAACTCTTGAGATTTGTTTTGGGCTTTCTTGCGATTTCGCAAGAGCGCGCGTGTAATCTTTTTTTTTGTGTTGTTTTCTTTTTATATAGAACAGTTTTGCGAAACCCTATGGTTTTGTATGTTTTTTGGAAACTCGATTTTAAAATCCTTCCGAAACCGAAGGTTTTTGAAGGATTTCGGCATGCGCGCGCGACGACGCGCGCGTGTACTTTTCGTCCCATTTGTTGCAAAGGGTTCTTTGAAAACTCATGTTTTTTGGTAAGCGAGTGCGCGCGTAGTATTTTTGTAGAGAATGGCGGGGGGGTTCGATTCCAGCCTGGCTGAGGTAGTATGAGTTCACAGGTAGGATGGACATTGGGTCAGAATCCTATTGTGTTTTGCATAGGTTCCCGGGGGGTCTTAAACCCCGGGGGGGGGGAGGTGGTAGAACCCATTCATTCGGTAGAAAGGAGAATTGACTCTTACAAACGAGTGGAGCACGAGCCTGCGAGGGGGCGTGGCCTCCGGGGCGCGAAGCTGTAGCATTCTACACGAGGGGCTGCGGCCTCGGGAGCGCGAGCCGACAGTCTGGACGCCGAAGCAAGGACCGCTTTGAGCTCAGGAGGGGCCCGGGTTTCCGGGCCGTTCCTTAGCTTGATGTCGCGGAACCTGTTTGTGGCCCAGGCCCGCCGAGGCCAGAGAGGCCCCTTCGTTCCTTCGTATGCGTTCCTGACTGTAGCACGATGACTGTATCACAGTCAACCCGCATGGTAAGGATGAGTAACTTTCCAAGGTTGCCCAGCGGTCGCTGAAAGTAGGTATTCGTGGATTCCCAGATTCCAATCTACTTTGAGCGCCTTCCTGCTCCAATGATCGAATGGCTTCCCCTCTTCCCTCCTCCTTAGGGGGCGGAAGGAACCCAATCTATTTTCAACGCTTTCCGACTTCATGTTTCTACCGACTTCTTCCGACCGATGGGTACCCTTGCGTCTTTTCCTTTCGGCCCATCCTTGGCCGCTTTCGCTGGCCGCGCCCCGCTCGCAAAATGTCGAAACGTCGTTCCAGGGCCCTTGCATCTTTTTCGTGCGTCCTTATCATACGGGCCGACTGTACCTTATATATGCGTATATATATATGTATACAAGACTGCATTGGCGCTTCGCGCCATGCACCTTGTTCCTTGCAGTTTCGAGTGCAGGCGGCGTGCGTGCGCGTGGACATGGGGCGGGCCACCGCCACGTTGGAATGGGTGAAGATTTCCTAAGCGGTAGCGACCAGACCGGACAACACAAACTGAGGCCAGCTCAGCGCGTTTCGGGGCCCAGAGGCACGAATATGTCTCAGGCGAGTGGTTGGGCTAGCATGAAGCGGGGCATCCTCCTCCGCTTTCTCCTCCTCTTTTTCCTCCTCTTTCTCTCGCTTCATCCTCATCCTCTTTCTCCTGTCTCCCCCTCTTCCTCTAATTTCTCCTCCTCCTCCTTCTCCCTCTCCTTCTCCTCTACACAGGCTGGCCCTACAGGGCCCAGAGATTCTAAAATCAATTTAAAAACAATTGGAAAAGCAATGTTTTCGGCCTTCTCGCCTTTTCGCTTCCATTCGACTCGGGAGGCGTCAAGATAGCCCCAGGACGGCTCCAGAGAGGCGCAAGCCGAGGCCCACAGCGGCCCAAGGCTGGCCGAAGAAGGCCCAAATAATGGAAAGTCAATTAAAACCATTGGAAAAGCAATGCTTTTGGCCTTCTCGCCTTTTCGCTTCTGGTCGGCTCGGCAGGTGTCAAGATAGCCTCAGGACGGCTCCACATGAGTCCCCAGACGAGCCCCAAAGAGGCTCAAGGCTGGCCCAAGAAGTCCCCAAACATAGAACATCAATGACAATCATGGGAAATCGATGTTTTTGGCCTTCTCGCATTTCGCTTACCATCGGCTTTTTCGGCGTCAAGATAGCCCCAGGACGGCTCCAAATGAGTCCCCAGACGAGCCTCAAAGAGCCCCCACGGGGTGCCCAGAGGCCCTCAAGAGAGCTCGAAGCGGCATGAAGCGGCCCCAAGATTGCCCAAGAGGCCCCTATGATGGGCAAGTTCTCCACCACCACTACCATATGTAGGACGTGGGAGAAGGGAGGATGAGGAGATCCTCCTCCTCTTCCTCCTCCTTCCTCTCCTACCTGTGGCATTGGGGGCCGAAAATGAGCCCATCACCCTGCACGACCCAAGGCAGCGGCGCTTCTCGTCTTCTTGTTCTTGTCCGGCCAGTGTTGGCGCGTGGGCGGGCCCACGGCGTGCGCCTCCCAGGTGTCGACCCACCCGGCAGCGCAGGCGGCCCCGGCGCCGGTGCTGCAGGCGGCCCCGCCGTCGCAGGCAGTATCGTTTCACCGATCCCTGTCCTCGAGCAACGGGCAGGGAGTATCTTTGCTTCCTCAAGGAGGGATCGTTTCAGAAGAAGGAAGAGCGCCATAAACATAAACTTTTGGCGCTCCGCGCGGATTTCTTGGATTCGCGCTGGGCCCCCCTGGCGCTGCCCCTGGCGCAGATCTGAGAAATCCGCGCAGAGCGCCAAAAGTTTATGTTTACGGCGTTTTCTCTTCTTCGATATGCCCATCCTTACATCGGTCATGTCCCTCCACAGAAGAAACGTTCAAGAAGAGTCAAGATATAGTCTGGGGTCCACTTTTCCATTATTTTTGGACTACTGTTTAAGTTTTCGTCCAAAATCCGACTGTAGGAGGGCGTGCCCGATCTAACTCCATCCCGATCCCCACCATCCCACCACCCCAGTTGGGGATATGCCCCTCGAAACCAGGAGGGAGCAGCCTATATCCCCATCAAGGGGGGCAAATCGGCCAGTGGCACCAAGGCCACGTCAAGTGGGGATGGGCATCGGTTAAACGGTGCGCATGCAGGCATTTCCGCTACAGTCCCACACCGCCCCAGCGCCAGCAGTGCAGACGGCCCCAGTGCCGGCGCTGTACACTGCGCCGTCGCCAGCGCTGCAGATGGTCACACCCCAGGCGCCGCCTCGGCAGGCGGCGGTGCCGCCGGCAGCTCCGGCGCCGCCGGCTCCTCCAGTGGCTTCGGGAGGAGGAGGAGGAGGAGGAGGAGGAGGAGGAGGAAAGCACGTGTCCTGGCATCGCTCGGACGTGTGCATTTTTCCGGCGAAGACCATCGTGGGGCATCTTGACTCATCTGGTGAAAAATAAACGCACGAAATGTTCAAAGCACGGGGAGTGGACGTACGAGCGATGGCGAGGTGTGCGTATTGATGTCTTGGTCCTGATGTGGCAGGCTTCGGTACGTATGCTTATGAGCCGCCTACCCTCCTCGGCCCGCTCTTCCTCTGGTCGTCTTCCTTCCTGGAACAATTTTCAAATTCTTGCAATCACCACGCCTGCGCTGTCCCGATTGAGGAGCGAAACAAGGACATACACGTTCATGAATGCACGCTGGTGTCGAGAGTACACATTGCGCGAATGTTCGTATCACGCTGCTGGTCTCGCGGATTCGGGGGCCGTGTTCATGTACCTGGTTGGACGCGTACATCCTTTGTGGGCTCCCTACCCATAGACGTCTCGATGCGGGCGAGCTGTCTGTGTCGAGGGTCATGTCAGCCTCGCCAATGAGGAACAGAGGCGGGAGGGAGTTGGGAGGAATAATGGACGAAGAGGGGGCGGCGGGGCTTGCCAGAGGAGGGGGAAGAGGATGAAAGTGAGGTAGGTGGCGGAGGGAGGCGCAGAAGAGGACGTGGCGAGGGGGACGGGGGAGCGGGGTAGGAGAGAGAATGGAGGGGGACAAGCTAGGTGCGCTCGCGCCATATCCGACATCCTGCCCTCCTACCCGTCCCGTTCCATTGATCGTTTTTGTTGTTCTATCTCAGTCGATGGGTGCCAGGGCATGCCATAGCTGACCTGGACCCCCCAAATCACCCCATCGTGCTATGCACAATCAGAAAGGGTAGCTGTGTATACCGGATGATGAGGAAGAGGAAGTGGATGCACATCATGATGATCATTTTGATGATGATGTTGATGTTGATGCTGATGCTGACTATGATGTTGATGATGATGATGACGATGCTGCTGATGATGATGCTGATGCTGATGCTGATGCTGATGATGATGATGATGATGATGATGATGATGATGGTGACGATGATGATGCTGATGATAATGATGCTGATGATGATGCTGATGCTGATGGTGGTGATGGTGATGGTGATGGTCATGACGATGACAATGACAACGCTGATGATGATGCTGATGCTGATGCTAAGGGTGATGATGATGACGATTTGTTGATGATGTTGATGCTGGTGATGCGGATGATGATGACGATTACGATGACGTCGAGATGACGCTGATGATGACGATGATGATGACGATGCTGCTGATGATGATGACGACGACGACGATCACGACGACAATGATGATGCTGATGATGATTACGATGAAGATGCAGATGATGAAATGATGATGATGATGATGACGATGACGATGATGCTGATGATGATGATGTTGTTGATGATGATGATGATGATGATGATCATTATGATCATGGTGGTGGTGGTGGTGGCGGTGGTGGTGGTGATGATGATGACGACGAGGACGATAACGATGACGATGATGATGATGATGATTACGATGCTGATTACGATGAAGATGCAGATGACGATATGATGATGATGATGATGATGATGATGATGATGATGATGATGACGATGACGATGACGATGACGATGACGATGATGATGTTGTTGTTGATGATGATGATGATCATGATGATCATGGTGGTGGTGGTGGTGTTGGCGGTGGTGGGGGTGATGATGATGACGACGATGACGATGACGATGATGATGATGATGAGGAGGAGGAGGAGGAGGAGGAGCAGAAGGATGAGGACGAGGATGTTGATGGTGAGGATGAGGATAAAGAGTATCAGCATGAGGATGGCAACGACGACGACGATTATGATGGTGATGATTATGATGATGATGCTGCTGCTGCTGATGATGATGATAATGATGATGATGATGATGCTGATGCTGATGCTGATGCTGATGCTGATGCTGATGCTGATGATGATGATGATGATGATGATGATGATGATGATGATGATGATGATGATGATGATGATGATGGTAGTGGTGGTGGTGGTGGTGCTGGTGGTGGTGGTGCTGGTGGTAGTGATGGTGATGGTGATGATGATGACGATGATGGGGATGAGGAGGAGGAGGAGGAGGAGGAGAAGGAGGAGGAGGGGAGGAGGAGGCGGAGGAGGAGGAGAAGGAGGAGGAAGAGGACCAGGGGAAGGTAGAGGAGGGGAAAACAGGTCGGTGACAACGATGAGGAATGGCCCAGACTTTGAAATATGGCCTGCTTTGGTGCGACAGCGCCATTACGAACGTCGGGTGCAAAGCGCGAATCGTGAAATGAGGCCAACGCTGCCGTAGGAGCAACACTTTGAAGCATCAAACACTTTCCGATCGAAAACGTCCCACATGAAGTATACGTTTTGGAAGCTCTATGTGTGGGAGACTGACAAGATGTGAGGAAGCAAAGCCTTCCCGGTCTGACAGAATCTGGAGTTCGGAAGCAAGCTGTATTTCTGTCGCGGCCCCGCCAGTCGCCGTGGCACCGTTGGGCAGGCCAGCATGTGCAGTTATGTACTGTCCATCTGTCTGGCCGGCACCCCGTCGCCGTTTTATTGCGCGGCGAGCTTTGGAAACAAACAAGCTCTCTATCTGTCTACCTGTCGTGGCCTCGCTGGTCGCTGTCGCACCGTTGGCCAGCCTGTGTGGTTATGGATTGTCTATCTGTCTGGCCACCCCTCGTCGCCGTCGCGCCAACAAACATGCGCGCGACACATGCTTGAGTTAAAGTGTCCACGGCGCGCCCATCGCGCATCGCACCAGCCATCTAATTTATCCATTAAATGAGCAGTGCAGTAACATTTCCGTCTTTGCGCATCTGTCTTCCACGGACCCGTCGCCGTCGCATTGGGGAGATCACATGAGACCAGCACCTCTCATATTGAGTATATATGGAGAAGAAGGGGGAGGGAAGGAGGGAGTATAAATGGACAGAATACGGGGTTCGCCTCATAATGCCCCAGGGATGCCTGCTTCGCTCTGGATTATTTCTTATTGTAGTATCCCCCTTTCGGCTTTCCGCTTGTGGAAGTGTGTTTGTCGCGGGGCCCCCCTCCCCCCCTTTCAAGGAGGATGAGGAGGCGCAGAAAACGACTCAACGGGTTACCTCTTAGAGATCGTGCAGAGCAGAAGGGAAGAAGAGCAGAAGGACGGAGGAGGAGGAGGAGGAGAAGCAAGAGGAGGAGGAGCAAGAGGAGGAGGAGGAGGAGGAGGAGGAGGAAGAGGAGGAGGAGGAGGAGGAGGGGGAGGAGGAGGAGGAGGAGGAGGAAGAGGATGCGGAGGGGAGGAGGGGAACGATGTTCAGCCCCCTCCCCCCACCCCCACTCGAGGTGGTCGTGCCCCACGCGCAGGCGACAGCGGCCGCGCCCCAGGCGCCCATGCTGGTGCCCACGGAGCTGCCAGTGCCCCAGCCCGCGGCGCGAAGGCCATCGCTAAGGCTCGGGAGAGCGAAGGGCACAGCTTCCAAGGGCGGGGGTCCCCTGACCCGAGGGGCTCGTTTCCTTGGCACCGCTCGGACGCGTGCACGTTTTCTCGGCGAGGACCATCGAGGAACACCCTGGATCGCCTGGCAAGAGAAGCACGCACGAAACCTGAGAATGCACGAGGAGTGGACGTCCGAGCGATGGCAAGTTTTGCTTTTGGCCTCTTGGCCGTCTTGGTGGCTTGGGGCGGCTGTGGGGCCAGCTTGGAGGTCTCTTGGGCCGTCTTGAGGCCGTTCTGGGCCTCCTGGACCGTCTTGAGGCTCTCTTTGGGGGCTTCTTGGGCGGTATCGGGGCCATCTTGTAGGCCCTTGGGGCCGTGCTCGGTTGTCGGAAGCCCGAGACAGCGAGAACGCGACACTGCTCGAAACTCAGAACGAAATCATTTCTTTTGATATCTTTGGGCCCTCCTGGAGAATCTGCCTCGTTGGGGCGCCTTGTGGTCGTATTAGGGAGGCTTTGGGCCATATTGGACCGTCTCGGGCCAATGCGCTGACCATTTGGGACCATTTTGGCCATCTTCGAGGCGAGTTGTCTTGACTTTGCGTTCTTTCGAATGGCCAGCGTGATCGGCCGAAGCCCATCGGAAACCTCTTGGAAGGGCCAAAACGTCTACCCGAAAGTCTGGCACGCCAAGCACCCCTTTCCAAGCAGAAGGGGGTGGCGGATCTAGTGGCCTTCAGCCAAACCCGCAACCGTCAATGGGTTGTTGGCAAGGGAGCATGTTGCTCTGTCTACTGACAGCCATTGGTGAGGCGAGGACGAACCGGGACGGCTGAAGGCCACAACGTGTGCTTAGTGTTTTTGCGCTTCTAGCTGGTCCAGTCTGCCGTGCTGGTCTGTAGTGCTGGTCTGCTGTGCTGGTCGGGCATGCCATCGGGTCGCGCCAGTCTGGTCAGATATGGTCTGCCGTGTTGGCCTCTTCCAGGCATCTTGGAAGCCTCTTTGGGGGGTTCTTCGGGGCGTCTTGACGACCTCTGAGCGGCGCTCGTGGGATAAGATTCGGTCGGAATCCAGGGACCGACCACAACGATGTTCAGTTAGGTTTTGGTCCTCGTGTTTTTTTGTTTCGTTTCGATTTTCGTTGTGCTTCCGTTGTGTTGTTCGTTGTCGTTGTAAACGCGTGGGATTTCGACGAAATCCCAATCATGTTCCTGGGTTCTGTTCGCGGGGCATCTTGCGGACCGCCTTCCGGACCCCTCTTTGGTCTGTCCTGGAAGCCTCTTGGATCTGTCTCGGAGGCCGTCTTGGGGCTCTCGTGGATGTCTCTTGGGGCGTCCGGGATGCTCTTGAGACCGAAATGGCGAGAATGTCACGATCCTCGGAAAGCTTACTGGATAGGCTTGAGGCGGTCTGGTGCTTTGAACCAGCCCCAGTGACCCGACGACAGTCTAAGAGACCGCCACGAGGGCCCACGACGGACTTTGGAGCCATCTAGACCTTTTTCGGAGGTCTGGATTCCGATACCCAGGGATGAGTCACGTGGGGTGCCGTGGAAGCGCGCAGGAGCTCCCGAGAGCGCTTGGGAAGCGGAGGGGGTACCAGACCCTAGAGAGTACCCAACCCTCGAGAACTCAACATTGAGGATTGCCAAAAGGTCTGGGGACACTCCCCTGTGTGCCGTTGGCACCGTGACGGATCACCATACCAGTCCTGCCATGTGTTGCATATTTTGCTGGCCCATGGGGCCCTCATCTTTATTGTGGGCGTTTGTCGTAGAGAAAAGAGATATCTGTACTGCCGCTGGGTGAGGGGATTTGGGGCGGAAAGGTGATGCGCTGCGGAATCAGTGATGACTGCTGGATATTAGCCTTCCTCCCCCCTCCTCCGGCTGTCTTCTGCACTCTCCTTCTCTTCCTCCTCATCCCTCCGTCCATGTCCTTGTCCTCCTCTTCCTCCCCATCATCACCATCGTCATCACCACCATCATCCTCCTTCACATCATCATCACCATCGCAACATCATCCGTGGCCATTTTGGCTCAGTTTCGAAACGTGCGGTCGGGCTCTTCAAACTTGCTCACAGCCGAGGACCTGGCTCGAGAGCCCTGGCCCCAGGCGGCTGTGACCCAACCATTCCGTCCTGTGCACGAGTTCCGGCTTCCCCTATCAGATTTTGCCGCCATGGCGCTCGATCTCTTTGCGATCCAGACAATGTTCGACGTTCACTTGAAGCCCACCAATGGGCAATGGGATGCTCGATCAGGAGACCGCTGGGGTCAATGCGAAATGCGAAGCAGGACGTAGTGCAGAAACGTTTCGACGCCCCCCCCGAGAGGCACCGTCGGCCCATGCTGTTCCAGGGGTCCTCGGAAAACGTCGTCTGTCGACTCGAGCTCTCTCGCTGACAGCAGTGACATAAATTGAAGACGCCCACATGCTGCTCATTCTAGATTTCAAGGACAGGATGACAGTTTTGCGCTTGCTCGAGTTGGTGATGAGATCATGTCGAAGTGCGCGACGGGGCAGGCAGGAAACTTAGCAGGGTTTGTGGTCATGATCTCCAGAATGAAAGTTGCTCTCGACTTCCCCCCCCTCCCCCCAGCCATGGCATCTGACTTCCCGGGCAACTTTCGGAAGATGGCAGGCGATTCTCAAATTTGATGTATGTACCCACGGAGCCCCGACGAAGTTTGGCCTCCGTGCTCGCCGCAACCTTTCCCCTCAGCATCGCTTGTTCTTCCAGATGGGTACGGTTCGTCGCGCGTTGTAGGATATCTGAACAAGCTAGGGATTCGGGCAATTCTGTGTGGGATACGTAGGTGGTGATGTGTTTGCCCGGGGGTCGACGAAGGACACCGCCCCGCAATTCCATCTCCACTGTTGCCCGCAGAACAGTGAGGCAACTCACACGTCTATTGATGACGAGGGGGGTGAAAACTTGGAATTCGGAGGTTGCCCGCGCAGCCTTTCAGGCCACGTTAGAGACAGCCCCCATCGCGCCCCCTTCTGGGGATGAATCTTGCGAAATAGTTGGCTCTGGGGGGCCCACGGCCGAATCCCTTGGCCCAGTTTTGCTTCGGGATTGCCCATCAGAGGGGTTTTCCTTTTGATAACTCCTGTTCAAGTCGCTCTGACTCAGAGACTTGGTCGTCTAGCTCAGCGCCTTGCAATGGACGGGGCCGCCCATTTGAAGTGTCGTTTCCTTTCTCTCCTCCGCCGCCGCCAACTCTTGCGTTCGCTGCTCTCGCATGGGACAGTCGGGTGCCCGTCGCTCCCATCCTTCATGCGTCTACGCGTGCGTTGAAGTAGCGCCGACGTCCCAGCATATTGCGTCTGCAAGAGACGCGGCGCGGCGGGAGATGCCAAGGCTCTTAATCAGGGTTTCTATGGGTGTGCTTCTGATATCGCTGGCGGTGTTTACATTACTCTCCCCTTCGACCTTTGCAAGCTCTTCCCGGACATTATTCGTTCTCCGATTGCGCCAGGATGTATTCTCTTAACGACATGTCGCGGACGGCATGGTTCTCTCCGGGTGTTGAATGTTAATCTTCCCACCTCGGGTGAGCCTGTGTGGGCTTGTCCTCGACTTCTTTGGCGCATTCGGGTTTCTCTGGCTGAATCTCAGAGTGTTCATGCGGTGGTTGTTGGTGGTTGTGCGTTTTCTCAGGATGAGGGCGGGGGGGCAATTCGGAGCGGTCTGGATGGCGACCTGGGGGCCGATGGCGACATGATCTGCGGTGATTTTTTCGCGCCGGAGAGAAACCCGCCAGCCCGACGCAGCCCGGCGAGGGGCGCAAGGGGGAGGGGGGGGGCACCGCAAGCCGTCTCGATTGTTTGCATGCTGCTAATCCGACAGCTGCAGTTTCTGACTTTTCGATCTCCTGTGCGGCGGTTGGCGAAGCTACGCTGGTGGGGAGCGTCTCGGGCCGCGCCCTTGTTTGGGGTGTTTCGTCGGCATTGCCCATCGGGGCTCCCGAAGATCCCAGTATGGGTCGGGGCAAATCCGATCGTTCGCGCTGAGTTGAAATTTCTGTTGGTAGAAAAGGGCTGCCCTACTTCCCTACTCCGATGCTGGACCAGCTCGCACTTGCAAAGCAGCGCGCGCGGGGGGCGCGCCCGCGCGGGCGCGCAAAGGCATGGCGCGAGCGACGGCAACCGAGGGCGGCGAGAATATCCATTTTGTGTTTGCGCAGCGCGCGCGGAACGTTGAGCGCGTTCGGAATGCCGCCCCGCGCTGCCCCGCCCCTTCCCGATTTGTCGACTTGGACGCTGGAACGCGCCATTGTCTACCGCTGCCCTGCGACCGCATTCTGCGCTTGCAGAACTCTCGGGCCGCGGGGCCCGGGCGCGAGGCAGATCGGGCGACTGGGGCAGAGGTGGGGGCGAGGTCGAGGCTTGGGCTTCAGAGCAGCGTCGCAGGGAGCACCGGAGGTTTTCGCATAGACGGATTTTCCCCCCGTGGCTGTTTCGAGCCGATCTGGGGGGCCCCGCGAGGCCGCGGTTCGCGCCGGGGGGGGGGGGAATGTGCTAGACATTGGGAAGCCATTTGCGGGGCTCAACGCGCTGATGCCTGTTGGCCTGATATGGAGGCCCACGTTATTCCTTTCTCGGGGATTCTGATGGTGGGCCATGGAGTTCGATGATTTTGAGAAGACGGTTCGGGGGCGGGCGGATCTCGCGCCTGAGCCAGATGGGATTGTCTGTTCACGCTGGAAATATGTATTCCCTCTTGCCAGTCTGTATGACCCGCGCTGCCGCCGCGCGGCGACTCGCGGGGGCGGGGGCGCCGCGGTCGACGCGTGAAATGCTGCTGGTCTTTCTCGCAGAGGGCGACCGCCCATCCGATCTTGCGCGCGCTCCCTCGCGTTCGCCAGGCGCCTGCCGACCCAGTGCCGCGGTTGACGCTGTTGGCGAGCCCGCGCGCGTTGCAGTCTCGCAGGGACTTGAGCGAACTGCTCTGGGGGCGGCGGCAAAGCGCAGGCGCGTCTGGAGAGGCGGCCCATGACTGCGGGGGCTTCAACTGTGCGCGTTTGGGAGGGATCTGGCAGGGATGTTTCGGGCCGATTTCGCGGCTGGGTTTCGGAGCATTGCCGCGGCCTGGCGGCCGCTGGTTCTGGGCCCAATGCAACTTCATCTTGAGGGCGCTGGTTTCTTGGAGGCGCTGCATTTTGAAGATTATGGGATCGCTTGCTTCGGAGGTGAGCGGCGCCGGAGCATTCGGCTGACGCGCGGGATCAGGCGGGGCGATCCGTCTCGCGCGCGCCCGTTTGCTCTGGCGCCCGACCCGCGCGTCGGATGGATGCCCTCTCGACTCCCTTGCGCGATTCCCGGGCGCGGGGCTCTGGTTGGGGCTTCGCGATGCGATTCTGGCACTTCCTCTCCTGCCCCCTCGTCTCCAGAAGCTCGATGGTGGAATTGAATTAGTCTTTTTCTGACTCTTGGCAAGTGCATGCGGATTTACTGTGGAGTTCAACTCTCTCCTCGGACCATTCGGCATTCTCGGGGCATGTTGGCGCAGCTTGGTCCTGGGGCCCCATTGATTAAAGTGGTTCGGCAGGCCCGTTACTATAGGATCCACATTGGGCTTGGCGGTTGGACGTTCGCCTGGGACCATGCCGCGAAGAAAGGCCATCGGCGCTGCATGGAGACTCGTAGATTGAAGGCTAGTTTTCCATGACTGTCCGCGCGTCTGGGATTTTTGCTGCGTCTGTTTTGCGCTTTCCCGTCTCCAGGGCCGCGCTGAATTGCGGGGGGGGGGGGGGGGGCGCGCGGCAGAAGTTGCTCGCTGGGCCCCGCTTCTCCTTCAATCGCATCGCGTTCGCTCGCCTTCGGGGCCTCGGGCTCAGCCCGGAATTCCCCGACCTGGCCAGCGTCGGATTGCGCCCCGGGCGAGTCTCGCACCCTGGTGGCCAAATTTTCCGGCGCGCTCCAGAGCGGCGAACTGGGGTCAGAACATCGGCCGTTGCGAGGCGCATCTCCAGGCTTCGGGCTTCCAGGAGAAACTCATGGAGAATATTCGGGCCAGGCGCCCGCCCATTCTTCAGCTTCGCGGCCTGCGCGTGAGAATTGCGCGGTGGGTCCCATGAGCTATGGCATCCCAGGCTTCTTGTGTCTTTCAGGTTATCAGTAGTTGTGAAGGGCAGGCCGCGCTATCTTGGGCTCGCTGTGCTTCGCGCGCTGCCTCGCGGGGTCTGTGCCTTTGCCAGATTTCACCGTGGGCCTGAGCGATGTTGTTGGAATCGTGGTAGGGATGGTTTTATGGGTTCCATGGGACATCATGTGGCATGCCCCTGGCCACACTGCTCAGCGCTGATACTCCCCTCCGTCTCCCGCGCAACGCTTGCTTTGCGCAGGTCCTCTGGGCGCTTGCCTGTTTGATTGGGGTCGTTGCCGCGAGGGCTTGCCCCCCCCCCCCCCCCGATGGCTTCTATAAAGCACGCGCGCGCGGCTCAGCTGTCGGAGGCGCTCGAAAATCCAGGCCGCCTGGCCCGAGGCCCGCGGTGTACTGTTGGCCCTCCGGGGATTGCTGCGCTGGCCCACTGTTTCCCGCGGGCGCTTCCGGCGGGGCGGCGCTCGCGCCGCCTCCCACTGCGGCCGGAGGGGGGGGGGGGGGCGGGGGCGGGGGCCGCGAGCTCTGCGGCCAGGGGGGGGGGGGCGGAGGCGGGTGCTGCGAGCTCGCTTGGCTGGCGTGGGCCCGCGCGGTTTGGCGCTTCGGGCGGCCGCGGCCCGCCCATCCTGTCCGCCGTGCGTTCCTGGCCGCCTCCCTCTCATATTGCCCTGGCGCTCGATCTCACTGCGATCCTGTGACGTCGATTGGGGTTCGCCAGTTTGACGCTTGATCAGAAGCTCGTGGGATCTGCGACGGTCGCCACTCTGGTTCTGGGAAGATGCGCTGGCGTTGCTCGCTCATTACCTCTATATGTGCGCGCCTCTCCCCCCGCGCTGCTCTCTCGCGTCCCCGCGGCGGCCTGCTGCCTTTTTCCGGGCGCGTGTATCTATGTTGCCGTTGCTACTATCGCATTATTAGGACGCCAATACCGTCGCCACTTGGGCTGCCCTGATCGACGAGCCGTGGCGGATCCTGACGCCCGAGGCGTCAGCTTTTTTCCTTATCCTCTGCCTGCGCGCCGCAAATTCCCGATAAAGTTCTAGGACCGCCGGGCTGCGTTCTCTCTCTTCGGCCTAGGGGCCATCGAGAGTGGACGTCGCGCGCTTAGCTTCTGACCAGATCTCGTCCTCTTTTCAATGATGGAAATCGTGCGCTAGCTTAAAATATTACGTTGGGAAAGCAGTCGTCGTCGCAGCATCATCATCACTATCGTCACCATCTTCATCATCCCAATCATCGTCATGATCGTCGCCACCATTACCTCCGCCACTACCATCCTCGTCATCCTCGTCGTAAACATCAGCATCACCATCATCACGATCGTCATCAGCATCGTCATCACCATCATCATCCTCATCATCATCACCGTCATCATCATCAACATCAGCATCACAGTGCTCATTCCCTTACAGTCTCTTGCCCCTTTCTCTCCCTCTTCCTTCCTCGCCCCCTCCCTGTCCCCCCTCCCCGCCCCACGGCCCGACGCCGACGCCGCTCCAGCCCAGGCGTGGAGAGGCGGAGCAGCTGCAGACCGTGCTGGATTGCCTGACGGGCCCGAGGGCCGCCGCGGCCCCGGCCGCGCAAGCGGGTGCGCCAGCCGTTGCCAGCGGTCGGTGGCCCGGTACCGCGGCACCGCTCGGGCGGGGAGGGAAGGAGGAAAAGGAACGGGAAAGAGAAGACGAAAAGGAACAGGAGGAGGAGGAATAGGAAAAGGAGGAGGAGGAGGAAGAGGAGGAGGAAGAGGAGGAGGGGGAGGAGGAGAAGGAACAGGAAGACAAAGAGGAACATTAATAATAGAGTCATAGCAGTATCAATAATAATAATAATAATAAAACGATGAGTAATGATACCACGAGTAATAATAACAATGGTAATAATAATCATATTGTCAACGACACTAGTACTAGTACTAAGACTGATAACGATGATCACAATACGATTTTTAATCGTAATAAGAAGAATACTAATCATAATACTGATAATACTATTCATAGTCATAAAATCATAAGAATAATGAGAATGGTAACAATGATGCTAATAGTGGTAATAATAATGATAATATCAATCAGAAGGAGAAGACGGATACTAATACAACTAATAATACTACGAAAAAGCATAATAAGAAGAGGAGGAGGAGGAAAAGGGACGAACAGAAGGCGGGGCAGAAAAGAGGAGAAGGAGGAAGAAGAGGAGGAGGAGGAGGAGGAGGAGGGAGGGAGGGAGGGAGGGAGGGAGGGAAGGAGGGAGGGAAGGAGGAGTTTGTTAATCGGGATCGAACGTAAATCCTTCCCAGAATGGGAAGGGTGGGGGGAAAACGGGGGTTGGAAGAACGAACTTGCTAAACCACTCACGCCCTGAAGTCGATGGTGAGCGTTTTCCTTCCCTCCCCAGGGTAACGCTCGTTACCCAGGCTAAGCCCCCCCTCTCCCCCACGGGTAACGCTAACGATCGTAACGGTGGGGTGGCCTGTACCCCCCCTACATGCAGTGGTGCACACAAGCGATTGATGCGCCAGTGGCCCGGACGCACCCAGGCGGGTGCACGCCACGGCCGCCATTACCGTTACCTTCCCGCCCGACCCCCCCCTTCCCTTGGGTAACGACCGTTACCCGGGAAATAAAAAAATGGTCACATGAAACGCAGGCGTGGATCAAGGCGCGTGGATTAACAGTGGGTCCAGCTTCCGTGCAAAACCAGCGCGCCCCGTCGCCCTGTTGGGCGGCATTGGCCTCATTCGTGTTTCGTGGGCTGCGTCTCCCGATCCGTGGATCCCTAGTCCACGTCAGCGTTTGCCCGGTAAAGGGCTGGTGGGATTTGAGGGGGTCTGGGCCCGCTCAGGTCAGGCGCGGGCCGTTGCGCCGGCGGCGGCTGCTCCGGTGCCGCCCACCGCCGTCAAGGAGGAGAGCTCGCAGGCGTCGGCCTCTCAGGCGGCTCCGCCTGCCGCGTGGACGGGGCGGAGGAGCGCTGGTGGGGTTGGGGGATGAGGCGGGGGGACGACGGGGGCGGAGGGGGAGGGGGAGGACGACTGGGGAGGGGGAGGGGCGGCGAGAAGTGCGGGAAAGAGGAGGCGGTTGAGGAGGGGGATGGATGGTGAGGTGGAGGAGGAGGAGCAGCATGAGGAGGAGGGGTGGAGAGTGGGATGGCAAGAAGAGGGAGGGAGAACACGGATGGTGATGATAATGATGGTGATGGTGATGGTGATGGTGATGGTTATGATGATGATGGTGATGATGATGTTGATGGAGATGATGATGATGTTGATGATGATGCTGGTGATTACGTATGATGTTGACGATGTTGACGATGCTGACGGTGATGGGTGATTGGTGATTGATGATTGATGATGGCGATGTTGACGGTTGTGGTGGTGTCATTGATGATGGTGATTGATGATGATGATGATGATGATGATGATGATGATGATGATGATCGATGATCGATGATGATGATGGTCCTGATATGATAATGATGATGATTAGGATACTGTTTAGGATGATGATGATGATGATGATGGTGATGATGATGTTGATGCTGATGATGGCGATGATATGATCGTGGTGGTGGTCGTTGTGATGATGATGGTGATGGTGATGGCGGTGGTGATGATGGTGGTGATGGTGATGGTGATGGTGACGGTGACGGTGACGATGACGATGACGGTGACGACGATGATGATCATGATCATCATCATCATCATCATGATTTTGATGATGATGATGATTATTATCATGATGACGATGTTGACTAAGTTGACGGTGATGGTGGTGATGATGATGGTGATGATTTTGATGGTGATTCGGATGGTGGTGGCCATGGTGATGGCGATGGTGGTGATGATAGTGATGGTGGTGGTGGTGATGGTGGCGTTGGTGGTGATGGTGATGGTGGTGATGATGCTGATGATGATGATGATGATGATGATGAAAGTGATAATGATGGTGGTGATGGTGATAATGATTATGGTGATGGTGATGGTGATGGTGATGGTGATGGTGATGGTGATGATGACAAGAAGGAGGAGGAATAGGAGGGGACGAAGGCCTCTTGAGCTATTGGTATGGATTGCGAGGCAATGATGATGGTGATCATGATGCTGCTGATGCTGATGATGCTGATGCTGATGATGATGATGTTGATGATGATGATGCTGATGCTGATGCTGATGCTGATGCTGATGCAGCTGATGATGATGATGACGATGACGATGACGATGACGATGACGATGATGATGATGATGATGATGATGATGATGATGATGATGATGATGCTGACGCTGATGCTGATGCTGATGCTGATGCTGATGCTGTGCCGATGCCGATGCTGATGACGAGGGGGCTGCCCTGGCCGCTCCGCAGCGGCTCCCTCCGCGTGGGCGCCCTCCCTTCCTTCCCCCGCCCCGCGGCCACCCCCTCCCCCTTTCTTCTCTTGCCGCCGGACAATGAGCGATGCCGTTGCCCGTCTTGCCCGAGCGCGCGTGCGAACTGCATCTGCCGCGCTGCAACGTAAACAAATGTTGTGAGCGATTCTCAAGCGAGAGCACGATAGTGATGCCAGGCCGCCCTCACCCGCATAATTTTTGGGTGAGTCTGGTGTATCGCAATGGCGCGAATTGATGAAGTCTGAGTCGAGAGCTCGACGCCAAGAATATCACCCACCGTCCGCCAATGTGGGCGTGTGATATTCAAAGCTTGCGCATTTCGAGGAAGGTCCCCGAACGAGAGGATGTGGAACCCGCTCCACCCCTCCCCATCCCTGCAGTTATGATTCCGTATCTATCTATATATATATATAACATACCAGTGAAAGACTTCTTGTATGAGAGCTCGATTCGGAATGTGTTCCAGTTTCACTTTGTGCGCGTAATACATAGCCCACATTGTGGGGAAATTTGGGATGACGAAGCGCCCAGTACGCTCTGTCGGAACTTCTGGTGGTGCGACGACAGGGGATCAATTATTCAGCTGCGCTGCCGCGAGAATCTGCCACTACACTCGGGCGGGCACCTGGGGGAGCTGGAGTGTTGTAGGCGGGGGGGCGCCCTGGCGGGTGCATGCCACAGGGATCGTGGCCAATGTCTTTGTTTGGGCACCATGTCCTGATTGAAGGCCATGCCGAACGCATAAGGACTTTGCCAACACAAAATTTACGCAGATTGGGTTCGAAGCGCTGGGGGACACCTATTTCTTTGTCGGAGGAAGCGACAGTTGCAATGAGCCAGGAACGTACCCAACCCATCTGCAACGTGTGGCAATATTGAGGTTCGCATCCAAGACGAACGACCATTCGAAAAGGCGCATTGTCACTTCTGCGAGCTACATGGGGGACCTCCCCCAAAAAGTTATATCAGGTGAGGCCAAAAGAACGTTTTCGTCAGACGTCGCTCCGCTGGATCTCCCAGGACCTCACGAGACTGCAGTCATTCGTTATCGCAGCGCTCTCGGAGGAAAGATCTCGTCGGGGTCCGTTTAGCGCCGGACTCCGCTGGACTTCCAAGGGCCTCATGCAAGTGGCGACAATTGGCAGCGCCCAGGGAGGCGAGGTCTCGTTTGGGTCTGTCCAAGACGCCACTCCGCTGAACCTCCCGGTCACGGCAGTGGTGACAGCTCTGCAGTCGGCAGCGCCCAGGGGGCGAGGTCACATTCGGGTTTGCAAAAGACGCAGCGCAACAGGGAGGCCAGGTCCCATTTGGATATTGTAAGGCGCCCCTCCGCTGGATCTCTCAGCGAAAGCGAGAGCGAAAGCGCGCCGTGTCCGGCCGGAGGCCGACCCGTGAGGGGTGGAGCGCAGGAGCCGCAGCCCTCACATGATCTTGTGCTTCGTGAAATCTTCCTCCAAAGCCTCCCAGTTTCCGGAAACATCGAACCATGATTGTGTCCAGGAGCCCACGAAAGTGGCGACAATTGTTCAGTTGGGAGCAGGGCTGGACCTAAACGTTGTTTTGCTGGACTTCGGCTGTGTTCTGTTTTTCGTTTTGCCAGGGAGATACAGGAAAATAGGTAGGGCAAGACGACAAACAATGCGAAAACAAAACGAAAAACAACGTTTAGGTCCAGCCCTGGCTGGCAGCGCCCACGGAGGCGATCTTTCACGTGGATTTGCTTAAGGCACCGCTCCGCTGGACCTGCCACGGGCTTACGAAAGTGGCGACAGGTGCGCAGCTCTGGGAGGCGAGGTCCCAAAGGATCTGCGTAAGGCGCTACTCTGAAGTCGGGCGTGTCCCTCTACAGGGGGAATATCAAAAATAGGGGAAAAAAAGCCTGGAGACCATGTTTTTGATATTTTTCTTGCTAACTCTAAATCTTTTTTGACAATTCTTCATTTTCGTCCAAAATCCGCCTGTAGGGGGACACGCCCGACTCCGATGGACCTCCGGGGAGCCCGCGAAACGATGGGTGCGCAGTTGGCAGCACTCAGGGAGGCGAGGTCCAGTATGGATCTGCGTAAGGCATCGCTCCGCTGGACTTCACGGGAGCCCCCGAAACGACGGTTGCACAGTTGGCAGGATGCGTTGTTGTATGAGTGTGTTGGTTCGGATCATGGTTGTAGGGAAGAAGCAGCACTGTTCCACCAGGGAGTGTTGGGTATAACATTGGGACGACACATTCGTACATATATAGCCGCGAGCAACACAACGCAACACACAACACTCGCACATGTCACACGGCACACGCATACACATCACACACACACACACACACCACGCACCCTTCTCCTCCGACGTGCGGGTGAGTCCACAACGCGGAAGTCAGTTTGCGGGTAACGTTGACCACGAATCAGATCCAATGTGGATCAGCCACACGCACACACGACGCACGAATGCACGCATGCGCCGACCGCTGCAAGCGCGGTGGTGGATCTTGGAGGACGAGCGTGGAAGGGTTGGATCCGCGGACGATCTACATGCACCGTACCGTGGCCACCGCCCTGGTGTATTTTTCATAGTTGCCGACTTGCGCATGATAGTGGTGCAGGGTTTGTGGACCGACATGCGCCCGCGTCCGTGCCCTTGGAAATCCGCCAATTGGAGGAGGACGAGCGTGGAAGGGTTGGAGGAGGAGAAGGAGGAGGAGGAGGGGGAGGAGGGGGAGGAGGAGAGGAGGAGGAGGAGGAGAGTGGAAGGGTTGGAGGAGAGTAGGAGGAGGAGGAGGAGAAGACGAGGAGGAGGAGGAGGAGGAGGAGGAGGAGGAGGAGGAGGAGGAGGAGGGTGGAGGGGTTGCAGGAGGAGAGGAGGAGGGGGAGGCGGCCCATTCAAGGGCCCCGGCGCATCGTGCTGCGTGCAGGAGTACCCAGGGAGAGGGGGGCACGGCGAAACTGGTTTTGAGTCGGGCGTGTCCCTCTGCAGGAGGAATATTCAAAGATAGTTAAAAATAATCAGGTGACGATTTTTTGAAGATGTTTGAGCGTGTGTTGTTATGTTTTGAGTATGTTTTGCTCTGTCGTCCACAATCCGTCTGCAGGAGGACATGCTCGACCTAAAACTAGTTGGGCGAGCAGCTATGGGCCTCCTCGGCCTCCTCCCCTGCCCTGCCTGTCCGTGCCCTTTTACCCCCCACCCCACCCCCGATTCCTATCTCCCCTTGCGTCCTTCCAGACTGGGGACACTCTGTGAGAGGAGGCCTCTGCAGGCACTCTGAAGCTACTTCGGGGGTCAGGGTGAACTTTTCGTATTCTCCTCACGTCCTTGCGTGGCGTTGGCTGGCGCCCCTGCGCCACCCGTGAGAGCTTCCACATTTTGTCGACAGTGGCTTCGGCCTCGTGGTTCGATTCTTGGCGCTCGTGCGAAGGGCATCTCAGCACTTCGCTGGGTCTCTTGCCGAAGCAGAAGGCCCTTCGGCCACGCGGGGCAGAGTGGCCAGGCTCCCGGCCCCTCAGCAGCACGAAGCCAGTTCCAAAGGGTTCGAGTCAGACGGAGAGACCTCAGAGTTTCTGTCGGGAAAGGATTTTGACCTCCACACTTGGGAGGGGGAAGGGAGGAGGAGGAGGAGGAGGAGGAGGAGGAGGAGGACGAGGAGGACGAGGGAGGTGCGCCATCGTTGCCGTTGCTGTGCAGTCGGAAGATGGTGCGCAGGTGCTTGCCGCAGTGGCCCTCCAGCGGGATCCCTCACAGATGGTCAGAGTATGGGGGTGGGCGTGGGGGGGCAGCGCATGCCGCCAGGCGCCCGTGATGCTGCCAGACGGCTGGAGCGCGAAGTACTCGGGGCGAAAGCAGCAGTACTACTACTTCCGTGTCGATCAGTCCGGTAGGCCCTACGAGCGCGGGCATGATAACAAGACGAAGACGTATTGGCTGCACGAGTTCCAGGCCGCCCTCGCGGAGTCCGGCCCTGGTTGGCCGCTGGACGCCGCTGGGGGCTGCTGCTGAGCACCATTCAATCCCCCCCCCCTCCACTACAGTCAGTGGAATCTCATTGATAGTGAGATCGAGTGGAATGTCATTGATAGTAAGATCTCGGCGAGCATGTCATAGCATGTTAATACATCGGGGGCGGTTTGGGGAAACTGTTTTGGCTTCTCCCTCCTCCCCTACCTACCCATCATCGTTTCTCTCACCGTGCTCCTCCTTCGGACTCTAACCTCACGAGCGCGCACACGCGCGCATACGCGCCCACGTACGCGCACGCACGCGCGCGCACCCGCCCACTCCCACTCGCCTTCAGTCACCATCCCCACAAAGGCGGCGCTACGACACATTTGGCAGCACGTGTAAGCAACAGGCCCTGTCTGAGAGCGAGGCGTGAACGCAGTGCTAGCAACCCCGCCCCCAGCCGCGTCAAATACCGGACATGGGCGTTCGAACATGGCTTCAACTAACGTAGACGCACCCACATAGCCACCAGCAAGATCACTACAGTGGGGGCCCATGCCAAGAAACACCGTGTTTGCCTCCAGGGTGCCCTGGGTTTCTTGGGTTTCGATGGTTTTACGATGGAGAGCATGACGTTCCCACGCCAGAAATCAATGGACGTCCTGGGGTCTCAGGGTTGGGTGTCTTGTGGAGGGTTCCTTGTGGTCGGGCACCTGCTGTAGCAAGGGGGCGCGGGGGAAGAGATGGGAAATGGGCAGGCAGATGGGCAAGAAGGGAGGGGGGGAGAGGGTGGCGCAGAGGTCCTGGTTCCCTCTGCCCCCCAGTGGTGGCGCGAGGGCATTTGAGTAAGGAACACTAGCATTCGGAAGTGCCTCGGTACTCCGTTGGTTTGGCCTTGTGGGCGCTGCCGGGCTTTGGAAGCAAGCACCACAATACATCGTTGATTCCAAGGCAGAGGAAGGGGGACCGTAGGTGGACACAAAAGTGGAACCTTTGACACCACGCTCCCCCCCAATGTCAAAGTTGGCTTCAAACATTCGGCTGCACAGGTGTGAGAGGACAAAAAAGTGGAGCCCCCAGGGCCTCCGGGAGGCCGAACCACCTTTGAAATTGGGGGGAGGGGGGGGGGGGCGAACGCGGGGTCAAAAACGAATGGGATTGCGCTTTTTGGTCTCCTTACCGGAGGTGTAAACTACAGGGAGGCTTGATATACGCTTGATGTGTGCAGCCTGGGCGAGAGCCATAGACGCATGTGGCCGCATGCCCTCCCATCGTTGGACCCCCGTGTGGCTGGGTACGCCGACCTTCCGTGCGCGTATCAATCAAGCAGTGTCGAATCGTCCTGACTCCTTGTAGGCCCACCAACGAATATTGTAAGAACGTTTGTGGTTTGCACGAAATGTTTGTTGATCATTTCTGGCTTGGACAGTTTTGTTTCAATCAATCGGCTTTACGACCAGAGAAACTTGTTCGTCTTAGAACAAAGCTTGTTATAAGGGCGGCTCGTTGTAACAAGGGCGATCGGCATGCTGAGACGGTCGATCTTGGCTCAAATCAAGTGCGCAGCCCCCGCATGCTTCTGGGTTGTTGGTACAGTGGAGACCCATGCAAAGAAACACCTTGCTCGCCGCCGGGGTGCCCTGGGTTTCTCGGATTTCGATGGTTTTGCCACGGAAAGCGTGGGGTTCCCACACCAGAAATCCATGGACGTTCTGGGGTCTCAGGGTTGGGTTTCTTGTGGAAGGTTTCTTGTGGACTGGCCTCCACTGTACTTTCAAGTCGGGCACGTCCCTCTACAGGAGGAATACTCAAAAATGGTCAAAAATTGTACGGGGACGATTTTTCTATTGTTTTTGTGTCTATTCTATTTTTTTCTGGGGTATTTGTAATTTCTCCTCCAAAACCCGCCTCTAGGGGGACATGCCCGACCTAATTGTACTTAGGGCCTGGGGGGGGGGAGCGGAGGCAGGGGTCGCGCAGGAGATCTCGGAGCCGCCGCCGGCGGCGCCCGCGTCGTCCTCGGCGGCTCGGCCTGCCGACGTGCCCGTCCTGACGCTGGAGCGGCGTGCCCGCTCTGGCGGGAGGGGGGCGGCGAGTGAGGGGGGCGGAGGGGGCAGGAGGGGGGGGGAGAGGAGGGTAGGCGGGAGAGGGAGGGGGAGGAGGAAGAGAGGCAGTGGGATGACGAGCACAAGCACGAGGAGGAGGAGGAGGAGGAGGAGGAGGAGGGCCAGTGTTAACCCAAGGCGCATCAGCGATGTTGCGATAAACACTCCCTTGGACCCTCAAACGGCTTCCAAGACGGTCCAAGAGACTTCCGAAGACCTTCCAAGGAACCTCGTCCAAAACCTCGATCCCCCTCGATCCTCGATCCCTCCCTCCCTCCCTCCCTCCCTCCATCCTCCCTCCCTCCCGCCCCCTTCCCCCCCTCTCTCCAGTCCTCCCTCGGGTTGGTTTTCGGGGCCATGAATCGAGCTTTAGGCGGCCGTTCGGGACGATTCGGGCCTGGAGGAGAGGACAGAGCGAGGGGAAGCCCAGGACCGCTTCGCCTGCGTTGCATCACAGCGCCACGGGCTGCTCCATAACCTCAGTGCGCGTGGAGCGCGCGAGTGATTCTAGTTCCGTTTGCTAAGATATAACATAATGCCCCGCCCCAACCACGAACGTACTAAAACTACGCTGTGCAGAAGCTATATCTCGTGCAGGCGCCGCCGTCGATGTGCACTAGATGTTCATTGCGCACGACAGCACGGTGCTAATCATCTGGAAGTGCGTAGCGATACTTGTGTCGGTCGTCCACTGTTCGGATGCTGAATGATACGGGATTTCGATTGCGTCGAGTCACGCGGTCGCCAAGCACTTGCATCATCGATGTCCTGGGGAGGGCTCCACCTCTGATCCAGCGATGCGAGGAGGCTCTATGTAATACGATCACGAATTGGATCTAAGCTGGCGTTGACCGAAGCTGTTTGACCGCTCACCGTTCACTGGCAGTTGGTAAAGATGACAGATCCTCCCCGAACGCGTTTCTGTGCAATTTCTGGGACGCTCTCCACCTGCCTGGTAGGCAGTTCCAAAATAGATGTCGCCATCTTGCAGCTTGCCTTGCGGGTCTGGTATTCTTGGTCTATCTGAGCGCGGGCTCCGATACAGTGAACAGCCCACACTGTGCGCAAATGTTGTTTTCAAGATATGGGGACAGGGACGTCCACTCGACCAGCTTTGCTCAAGCGTTTCACTTTTCGCGCCGCTGCTCGCCACAGGGGTGTGCAAATACATCTTCTCGACTCTTCACGCCCTCCCTCACTGCTAGGCCATGGCCTCACCCGCTTCGCCCCTACAGTCAGCAACCATGACAAAGGACACGCGCCTTTCCCAGGGGTACCCTAAGGCCCTTGCCTCTGCGCGTTCTGCGGCGCCAGATCTGCAAGGACGGGGGCGGCGGGCCGGGGTACCCCTGCGTCCCAGGGGTTTGGGCCGCCCGCGGCCCAGCAGAATCCCAGCCTTGGCCTCCAAGGGTTACGGGCGTCCTCACCGCCCCTCCTCACTACGGGTTTTGGGTGCGAGGGGCCCGGGCGACTGCCCGCACAGCGGTCCCGTTCCGTGCCGTTCCCCGCCCTGCAGGAGCAGCAGGAGCAGCAGCTGCACCTGGCAGCCGGCCGCAGGGTCCTGAGCTCCGGGGTCGCCCAGTCCCTGGACATGCTGGGGGCCACGGCCAAGAGGGCCGCAGCGGGCAGAGACAGGACCGCCGGGTCGGAATGGACCGGAGGAGGGGTGGGGCGGAAGAGGGCAGGGCGGAGGGAGAGCAGGCGGCCGGGGGGGGGCTCGTTTCGATCCCTCCGATTCGATCCGATTCGATTTCGATGGACTCTCCGATTCCAGTTCGATTCGACCTCGGACTCCGATGTGGGTTCCGGTTCTTGAGTGAGGCCTTGCGACTCTGCCGATTTCAGCAGAGTCGACTTCTCCCGATTTGGCTGCCGATTCCCGCAGATCCGATAGCTTTCGATCGCCGATTCGACTCATCGATTCGATTCTGGGCTCTCCTGCAGGGGGAGGGTGGGGCAAAGGAGGGAGGGCAGGGGGAAGGCAGCGGGAGGAGAGGGACGGGGGAGGAGAAGGGAGAGCAATGCGATAACCCAAGACGCATCAACGATGTTGCAAGGAGCCCTCCCTCCATGTCCCCTCTTAATAGATTCCTGCATGAAGTTAGGTTCATTGCGAGAAGTGCCACAATCAAAGACAACAGTCTGAGAATCCTCAACCGTGCCAAACCCACAGTTCCTGAGATTTCAACGCCGCGTGCAATTGATTGTTGCGTCTTGTCAATCCTCAGCCGTACCAGAACAGGATTCCTGGAACGCCAGAACATTCCTGGAACTTCAACCCTGCGAACCCTGAAATTGCTGCAAACTTTTAAGTCGAACGTACGTGGCGCTGAGGCGAGAGCCACATTTTGCAAAGGACCCGCCCTCTCTCCTTGAAATTGTGGAATCTGTTTAGGACGAGTGCGCGCAGCGCTACGGCGAGATCCACATTCTGAGAGAGAACCGCCCTCCATCCCAGAATCGCCCCGCCCTCCCCCTCCCTTCCGCTCTCCCCTGCCCCAATGCCCCGCTTCCCGTCCCCTCCCACTCTCTCCCGCTCTCCCCCTTTCTCCTCACTGCTCGGCAGTGCCGTTGCTCCCTCCTCCGCCTTCTCCGTCTCGGGTAAGATCCCAGGCCCACCACCTGACAACAGCCTGCCTGACTCCAAGGCTGCATACCTATAGATGGAGAAGAGATCGTAGAGGAGGATAAGGGTCTGGTCTTGAGGCTCGCTGTAGAAGCTGGTCCAGTACAGTCTGACCGAGGCACAAGATCGAGGTCGGTTCGGGGAGGGTACCCTGATGTTCTTCGTGTTGCCGGGCGTGGTCCTACAAGGCCGGGAGGTCGACGTTTTGGTTTGCTCTTTTGCGTGGTCTTACCAGCCCGGCTGTTCGATGGTTTTTTGTCTTTTGTTTGCGTTGCCCCCGCTTCCGCTTCCAGATGCGTGGCCCCGCGCCTGCCTCAGGGCCGCGCCCAGCCCCTGCAGGCCCCGCCCCACCAGAGCCAGCCCAGCCCCCACGAAGCTCCGGTTTCCCCCAGGGGGTGGGAGGTGCACGGGCAATCCGCAGCTCGCTGGAAACCCTACCCCCAAGCAGGCCGCAAAGGCACCATTAGGAATTGAACCCAAGAAGCTCAGATTGTGGGAAGGGATATTCCCCATTTTACTACAATTCGGTACATACAGGGGAAGGAGGGCATATAATTGCCCTATTCTATGGCACGTCCCCTATTCTAGTAGTGGTGGTGGTGGTCGTCGTCGTCGTTGTGGTGGTGGTGGTGGCGGGGGTAGCGGTGGCGTGCGCGGTGGCAGTGCGGCGGCAACGGCGGCGGCAACAGCAGCGGTGGGGACAGCGATAGTGGTGGGGCAATGCTGGGCGGGGGCCGGGGGGGGCGGTGGCCGCGGTGATGGTATTGGCTGCGGCGTGCCTGGGGCAGGCGCGTTTGCTTGCTTGCTGGATAGTGGCGGCGGGGCTGGGTCGCGCTGGGGGGGGGGGGGGGGCGGCGGGGGGGGGGGGGGGGGGGGGGGGGGGGGGGGGGGGGGGGGGGGGGGGGGGGGGGGGGAGGGGGGGGGGGGGGGGGGGGGGGCGGGGGCCGGGGGGGGCGGGGGGGGGTGGGGGTGCGGCGGGGGGTGGTGGCTGTCGGCGCAGCAGCGGCGGCGGTGGTGGGCCCGGTTGGAAATGCCAGAGGCAGCGGCAGGGCTGGCGGCGGCAGGGGTGGCGGGGGTAGCGGTGGTGTGCGCGGTGGCAGTGCGGCGGCAACGGTGAGCGCAGCCGCGAGGGGGGGGGGGGGGGGGCGGCTGTGGTCGCCGCGGTGCGTAGTGGCTTTGCATGGGCGGCGGCAGTGGCGACAACAGCGGCTCCGGCGAGCGCGGCCGCTGTGGGGGCTGAAAAGGATTTGGGAGCCGCGGCGCTGGGTGCTTCAAACAAGCAGCGGCCGAGGTGGTGGCGGCTGGGCCGCCAGGGGCAGTGGGAGCGATCGTGGTGTGGGCGGCGGTGCCTTTGGTGGGGGCGGCAACAGCAGCGGCGGGGACAGCGATAGTGGTGGGGCAATGCTGGGCGGGGGGCGGGAAGGGGGGGGCGGTGGCCGCGGTGATGGTATTGGCTGCGGTGTGCCTGGGGCAGGCGCGTTGCTTGCTTGCTGGATAGTGGCGGTGGATGGCTGGGTCGCGCTGGGGTGGGGGTGGGGGGGTGGTGGCTGTCGGCGCAGAAGCAGCGGACGTGGTGGGCCTGGTTGGCAATGCCAGAGGCAGCGGCAGGGTTGGCTTGGCGGCCGCGGCGGCAGCGGTGGCGGTGGCTTTCGCAATGGGGGCGGTGGCAATTCTAAATTTCAGAATTCCTGAGTATGCAAAGCTCTAAATACATGTAAACGGCCTTACTTGCACAGAATCCTTTCTACAGTGATTTCCCCCGCAATGATAATGGCATGGCATGGCTGGGCACGTCCCTTCATAGGCCCCACCAGGAATTGAACCCAGGAAGGTCAGATTGTGAGAACATGGATGCCCCATTTCACTACATTACGTTATTCTACTTGGGAGGGTTGGGCATAGTTCGCCTGCTCCATTCCACTGAATTGTGTCATTTCACTACATTACCAGCAGATTCCGAGAAACAGGTTCCCGGCAAATTCCCAGGAGTGAAGGCCATGAGGCCCTAAGCGCCCTGGCGCCATCGTCCCAGGGCCTCCTCGCAAGCCTCAAATCCGCCAAGGCCTTGGCTCTATGGAGGCTACAGGAGCGCAGACGCCCCAATCCCCTCGACAGTTTCCCCTCGGGGCAATCGAACTGCGGGCGCGAAAAAAAAATGCCCGCAATTTTCAAGGAGATTAGCTCTGCGGGCCGGAAAAAAAGTGCCCGCGCCCCCTGCCACCTCTGGGCAATCGAAATGCGGGCAGGAAAAAAACTGCCCGCAGTTTTTCAACGAGATTAGCTCTGCGGGCCGGAAAAAAAAATGCCCGCCCCCCTTCGAAGTGCGGGCAGACAAAAAAATGCCCGCAGTTTTTCAAGGAGATTAGCTCAAGGGGCCAGAGAAATTTTCCGAATATATGTTTTTCCAACTGAGACCTGCAAGAAGTACTACTGGGATTTGAACCTGTGAAGTGCAAATTCTGTCCTAACGCCTTATCGGTCAGGCCATGCAGTCGAGAAGATCAGATCGCCCCGCCGATATCGTTCATTTTGTGGCCCTTGGCCCCTGTGGAGGCGACCCCTGCCTCCACAGAAGGCGCGCCCGCGCGAGCCAGCCCGGGATGGCTGGGGGCAACGCTGCTGGGGGCACCGCTGCTGCGGGCGCCCCTCGCCTGGGGCTGCGCGAAGGCTCGCAGGCCCGTGTGTTTGGCCTCCGTCGTTCAGGATGGCGCTCTCGCCCCAGCGCGGGCCCCTTTCTCCCGCGCCCATCCGCCCGCCACCACCGCGCCGCACCACCGCCACCACCACCACCACCACCACCATCGCAACCAGCACCAGCACCACCACCAGCACAAGCACAAGCACCAGCACCAGTACCAGCACCAGCACCAGCACCACCACAACCACGCACACACGCACGCCCGCCCGCACGCGCGTGCACCACCACCCACCACGCACGCGCGCGCGGAGCCACAGGTCCGCCACGACAAGCGTCCGCGGATAGAGAAAATCAGCGCCATGGTAAGGGATGGGAGGGAGGGGTTGGACGTCAGATATGACGCGAGCCCACCTAGCTTGTCCCCCTCCCCCTCCTCCTCCTCCTCCGCCTCCTCCTCCCCCTCCGCCTCCTGCTTCCTCCTTTTCCTCGCATTCATATTCCTGCTCCTGCTCCTGCTCCTGCTTCTGCTCCTGCTCCTGCTCCTGCTCCTCCTCCTCCTCCTCCTCCTCCTCCTCCTCCTGCTCCGAATATCATCTTCCTCCTCTACCTCTCGCTCCTCCACCGCCTCTTCCTCCTCGCCCTCCCCCTCCTCCTGCTCCGCCTCCCGTTTCCCCCCTTTCCTCCTGTTCCCCTTCCTTTTCCTCATCCTTTTCCTGCTCCTCCTCCTCCTCCTCCACCTCCTCCTTTTCCTCCGCCTCCTCATCGTCATCCTCCTCCTCCTCCATGGCCTCCTGCTTCCCCCGTTCCTCGCATTCCTCTTCCTCCTCCTCCTCCTCCTCCTCCTCACCCCCCTCCTCACGCGCAGCGATGCTGAGCGGAACCCCTCTGTGGCTTCCAGAAAAGCCTGGGCGACCGAGAAGGGCCAGAGGAACAACTGCGGAAGGACGACTGGAACATCGAGCCCCTTCCGAATCCAACGCGTTCCTCCTTTCAGCGTCTAGGCTGCGCGCACCCCTCAAGTACAAATGCCGATTCACTGCGCGGCCCCGCCGATGCACCCGGCGCTCCCCGGGAAAGGCTTAACAGCGCGCAATAAAAAGAGTTGTCCCCACGCTGTCGTCTCCGCTCCCCCCCCCCCGCCCCCCGTCTGCGCGGGGCCCAATGGGGCGCCCTGCACGTTGCCAAGTAACGCCTTCTGGAATGAGCCCTGACATGTTTTCGTTGCTGGGAAGAACCCGGCGGGGGCTCCTGCAAGGGGCCAGCCCAATAGGGCCACCTGTGAATGGAGCCCGTCTATGCCT